CCTCACAGACACAAGACACAGACACAAAGAAATGGTGACTTAACAGGAAGTGGCGAAAAAAGAATTGGTTCATGCTGTTTACTGTGCGATTTTGCAAAAAAAGTACGAATACATTCACTGACTGACGTTTGACATGATAGTCATGATAAAAGGCAAGACAATAGTAAAGTTGGAACCAATGATAGTAATAGTTAAGCAGCAACATCAGTTGGGATTCAACCAAATGGACATTGCATCATGTTTGCTGTTGATGATGAAATACAGTTCCCAAAAAGAAGAAGTGGGCCAAATATCAGACGCCACTCGGAAAAAAGTGAGGTTCAGATTAAAATAAATACAAAAACATGAATAAGCAAGTAAAAAATAAAATAATCCTTCAAGAGGGAAAACAAAACCAAAAATGGGCATTCGGGTCTATAAAAACATGCTTAGTTTGGAGCAGGATGGGCAGACGATAAACAAAGATTTGGATTTTCCTTTAAAAGTTAAGGACTCTGGCTTAGAAAAAATGGTTAATCATTACACTTTCACAATTCAAAAGAACTTTAAGGTTGTTTTGTATTTTGATTTTATTTGATCAGAAGAGTTGCAACAGATTTCATTAAACCATATTTGTCAAATAGAAAGCAATCTCATGTGTGATTAAAGACGTTTTATGTATGTTGGTGATATGTTTGACATAAGGGAGGAGGTACCACAGGCCTCTATTCTGGGATCCATCCTATTTGTGTTGTATGTGAACAGCTTGGGAGACTGACTTCAGGCGGGTCTGGTGTGTCATTTATTCTGTTATAACTTGTTGCCCTGTATATGTATTTATATATATTAATTAATATTAATATCAAACAGGTTTCTAAATCGTTTCTTGACACCTTGCAACGCAAAGACCTATAGTTTCAAATCGTAGCTCAGCTAGAAATTTGTTTTTCAAGAAAACAATACATTTTTGCTCGCCAAGTTAAGGTAATCTTAATTTTATTATAAGCATTTTTAAAAATGGGCAATTAAAAATACAGCGATGCTGGTGGTAATTTTTTAAAGTTTGTTTTTAGCCGTTCCATTATTTCCATATATTTTTCCTTTTTTTCCAGTGCCTATATGTTTGCACAAATTCAAACTTCGTACTCCTCCCAATTCCAAAATACGCAGTTTTTCTCTTTTTTACTATGTTTAAAGAGTGGTCTGCCCTTATTTATACGTCTCAGTACCTCATTCGTTGCTTGAACTGTCCATGGTATTATGAGAATACGTTGATACGACCAATCTCAGAGTCTTTTAGTTCATTCATAACGAATGAAACATTACATCACTACATCATTAAAATATATTCGTGCTGCTTTGCAAAAATATGTCCGAGTATATTATATATCACGTTCATTAGCTTCATCAGTAACTCGTTTATTAAGATCACGCTCCGCTCGTGCGAAATCAAACTCATGACTAAAATGGTGTTTATCAAACTTGTTGCATAATACACAATTAAAAATAGGTAGCTTTTTCGATGCGATTATGAACTGTGAACTTCCTTCCTTGTTTGGAATTGACTGAAAAGCAATAATCACCAGCTAAGTTAAGTTAACCGAAGCATTAATTTGACAAATTCATGATGTCCATTCATTGCGTAATAAGTTGAGATGGTGTGGGCAGCAAATAATATAATTTAATGATTTCGAATGCCCAAAAGTGCCCATTCAATAATCACGACCTTTGCTGTCGAAATTATAGTTTTCTTGACAGTTCTTCGATTTGTTGTATTTAAAGCAAGAGCTTCCGGCGGAAATGAGGTAAGCAATACTTCAAAATTAATCAACACAATTCGATTCCAAGAACGCGCAATTCAATCTACGGCGGCGGGTCTGTAACTTGGAGCGCATACAACAGACTTGCCAGTAACCGCGAACCACCGCAGAAAGGGTCGCAGGAAATAACTTGGCAAACAGGCCATCGAATCTTGTTACCAGAAGTAATTTGTTTGCATAAAAGCCAACATGTGCCAGGAAGCGCGACAATAGTCTTCTGCTGGCCGCTTGTTAACGGTTTCACAATTCTGGACACACAATGTTTGATTTAAATTACGGTCAGCTCTGGACGGGTCGTCTACGCCTTGAAATGCAATTAAGAAAACGACGTCCACAGCAGAAAGTGATTAAACGTTACGCAGCTTTTCTGAGGAACTTTGATTTTTGATTTTTTATAGTATTTCTTTACTTAACAAACACGCACTAACCTTTGAGATGTATATTGTTTTTGCCAAATAGTTTATATGACTCCGGCGAAGAAGAGGGGCATCATTTTAGGTCTCACTTAAAATAGGAGCTTTTTTAGTTGCTGTTTTCAAATTATAAAAGACGTTTCCTATATAAATTTTGACGTGGAAAAAATTGAACCACCTTAAAACCATGCCGTGCCTTTTTATCAATATAAACCAATCCCTCCACCCTGAATTCAAAAATCAAGGTTTTAACTACTTTGAGCAATCTCTTTTGGGATATCAGGTCAAATGTGAAAACACGTTTTCTATCTAAGGATTGACGAACAACTCGAATGAAAAACGTAAATGTCAAAGATGCGACCTGTGTTTTTGGTTTTTGACGTCAATAATCAAAAATTATTTTGGGCATATCCCCGCATACTTTTTAAAACGAAAGGGGAATAAATTAACACACAGGGGTCAAATCTAATGAATGATGTTAAGCAATTTGATGATCTTGAATATTTTGCAATTCAATACTACCCAATAAGCTATGAACAATAAATTATCCTTATTATGTGAAAATTATTAGGACACGAACTAAAGTTAACAAACCAAAAACTATATTTTTAAATCCGAAGCAGAACAGTCTATTCAGAACTGCAAGATCAAAGCTTTAAAAATCAATGTCACGTTGTGTATTTCTCGAAACCGATCTGATTCTTTTTGGAGTGTGAATGGCAGTGGGGTTTCTTTTTTTATTGCTACCATGACTGTGGGACCACTAAACTCTTGGAAAATTGTGTTTACCCTTTTCGAAATGTCATTTTCTCAATGAATGGTGAATGCGCCGGGAAAACCATATTTTTTTAAATGACATTTATCAGTTTTGTTATAACGATTAAGAAAACAGCAGCTAAAGTTTTTGTAATACCACCGACCTCGATAAAAATGATACCTCATCCATGCGGAGAGCGCAGAAGCATTTCGTCCGATCCTTTTTCTAATTCATCCTTTGTTTCTCTTTCACCTTATTGTAATTGTTGGTATTTTTCACCTTTTGTGGTTAACGCTAGCGGTGTTTTATCGAGATTCCGACCATCGGAATATCTTACTACCACTAAAATTGTAAATAATCAATTGTGGTTACTTCCTTTTTTGTTGGCGATTTTGGACCTGTGGTTTTCGATATCCTGGTTGTTTGATCCTTGATTGACCTTCACGACTATTTCAGAAAAAGCATTAACAGCGTTTGGTCGGGAAACGTGCTTTCCTTGGAACATCAACAGCTCCCACCGCCTGGGATAGTACCCTCGAAGTTACGAGCTAATCACGTTTCGATATTGATTTGACCTATTTTGAGCCCTTATCCGCTGTTTTATCTTTACCTAGGGTACTTTTAACGGGGAATTTTCCATCAGTTCTAGTGTCACGAGGCTAGGCCGGGAAATTCCTATCAGTTCTGGTGACCCGAGGACTTATCCAGATGAACTGTGTTTGTGTGTGTCCTCATACCTCCAAGTTAATGTTTATAGGATAAAAAGAATAAGTAGATTTGTGTTTCTTTTTCATTTGAAATTGAAGGATAGATTAGCCCTAAGATATATTTTTTCTTAAGCACATATTTACAATTTTTTTTATTATTCCCTTTTCCTATTTCTTCCTTTTTTCATAGGTTCCAATAGTGGAGAACTTGTCTCTAGCCGCGCAAAGACAATTCGCAGTAAATAATTTGCATTGCATTCTGTGAATTCTCTTCTCGCTGAATCTCTCCGGTCAATTAAATAGTTAGTTCTAGTCGTCTATTACGAGAGATAAAAATATTCGATGATTTGTTTAAATAAAAAAAAAGATCATTTGAGAGGTGTCGTCATTCCAAGTCGGTGATTCGGCGTCCCGGTCAAAAGTTACATAGGAAATGTCTTTTCAGATTCAAAAAAATAGAGAAGAGGTTTTTTGAAAAAAAAAACATCTGTTTAGAGATATAATAATATACAGGGGTTTAATTTACATCAAAGACGGAGATCGGATAGTATTTGTAATATTAAGAGATATCATAATTTCAAGTTGGTTAGTTACACAGAAAATGTCATAAATTTTGACAATAATAAGTGGGTAAGCTTCCACCTCAAGTGAGTCCCTTAAAATGCACTGTATAAAGCAAAATCTAATGGGCGTTTTAAACGTTTGAAAAATTTAATAATAGCAACGATAAACAATGCACAATAAAAACCAATTTACTCTTAATAAACGAATAACTGAAGAAGATAATCAAAATGTTGTGGCAAGTGTCACTTGAAAAACATCAAATTCGTTACCGATGCTCGGACATAGGGCCCCAAGGAGAATCAGGACTATGCCATAGAATTGAAGGAAATAACAAACTTGAAATACTATTTGGTCAGATCAGTTTCGCGCAAAGTGTGTCCACCCTTTTGTGGTGGTGGTGTGGTGAAAACGTTAACGTTTAGTTTTTTTGCCTGCAGTTCCGAATACATGCAGTTCTCAAAACACTTCCTTCATTGAAATATGATTTTAGTTAATTTTTGATTTGTATTTTCGATTCTCTTATTTCTGGCAAAATTTCAGAACGTTTCAATAAGTTGTATCACTAAAATAAACGTCAATTAAAAGCAGTAATTCCTTCCCAACAATCAATTGCATACTCAGCTTAGGTCTTCTTATATATGGAAATCAATGAAAATTATAAAAGACGCATTAAAAAAATAATTCCAACTTTTTTAAAAACAATAAAAACCTATTTTAAATGGTGAAACCGACCAATCGAAAATGTGCATCATCTACTTACCGATAAATCTGTAAAGGCGAAATCTATAAAGGTGAGTTCCGATTCTTCCCCCGCGAGCAGCACCGACACTGATTTCTCGCCACTTTCATCGTCTGAAATTAAAATTAGTTTAATTCTACTTTCATTGTTGCAATATTTGGATTTAAATCTTTCCATTTGTTCTATTTTCAAACCAATCCAAGTTTGAGCTATTAAGTACTAATTTTATTGTTCAAATAAATAAATCTAGTAGCAATATTAGGTATGAAGGACCCTCTGGAATTATAAGAGCGGTAGTCATTAACTTCCGTGATGCTTATAACGTTGTTTTAAATTTATTATCGTCCTTGATATAAATAAATATTAGCTCTAAAATATCAAAAATGAGATCAGTGGAAACATAACCGACCGTGTTTCGTAGTAGCCACTCTGTCAATAGTCTCTGCGCCCTCAGCTATATATTATGCCTCTAAGAGTAAGTACAGGGAAAGAGAGCAGTAGCTTCGTTCAATCTTGTCTCGCAAGGAAAATCCAGTGGATTAGTAAACAGTATTATAGTATAGTAGCCTGTGAAGATTTCTTTGAAAAAAAAAAAGTACACTTGTCGGTTAATAGACGGTTTTGGAAAAATCCACAATCGGCAGTAGCATGCTCACCTTTTATGTTCATTGACCTGAATCAAGTTGAGGTAACTCATCTGAGTTTGGCAGGACTCTGCCTGTTTATGTGGAAAATGTTACGTTGACACTTGTGGCCATATATGTATTGGATTCTTTTATGATTGTATTTAAAAAAAGCAAACACTTTAACTGAGCCATGTGACTTTAGCTATATTCAGAATAATGTCAGGTATTACATAATTATAGCATTTATAGCATGCCTGATAAAAAAGCTAAAAACAATATCAAAAACATGTCCATGAAATATGGTTAACGATAATGATATGTATATGTATTTTTTAAATTGTATGTACAGATGATCGTTTGCTCTGTTGTTCTAGAATTGCTTTTCCTGTTATTTTGGAGTACTGTTTGTTTTTTCTTGTTTTTTTTATTTTCGTATTTTGGAGCAAAATTGATACTTATATAACAAAAACGATTTTAAACCATCTAATGATGAGTCTAGGTACTCTGCCAATTTTCACGTTAAAAGACGACATGATAGGGACAAATTGGTTAAGAAATCTGTAGTCCGAATATCGTTTCAAAAATCACATATTCAAATTAAGTAACTTACCCACTTATTTTAAGTCGATAAAGAAAAATATTATCCGAACTGAAATAAATACCAAAGTAAAACAAATCGATACGGATCAGGATAATTTATTTTGCTCTGTAGCTAATAGGATCCATTGCAAGTATAGACACTAGTTTAACAAATGCGGAACATGTGGAAGATCCTGCTTAATTGGCAAAACTCTGTTCGGAATACAGAGCCTAAAAAGTCCTCAGGTGACCCAACGAAAAATTTCGAAGATTTTACAAAATCGGAAAACGGAAGTGCTTAAACTTTTCGTTCGCTACTAGACTGAGTATACATGCGAGCGGTGAAAGGGGTACAGCATATATTTTAAAACACGTATATATGTGCTCACCTACAAGAGCTATAAGTTCAAAGAAAAGTTTCGGTAGGAATACCAAATTACTAAAAAAGTGAAGAGAAAGGAAAGAATCGTAGAACTGAGAATGGTAAAAAGTTCAAAGCGATTGGTAATTTTTTATTTCACAATTTGATCTTAGGCTTTTAAAAAAACTTTCTTTTTTATCAGATTTTCTTGACGTCTAAAAGAATGCAGTAAATTTAAAAACCAGAGCGACTATTGCCATAGAATGTATTTTTGAAAAACCTACTAATTTAAAAAAACTAATACGCTTGGCTTTTAATATTGGTCGATGCGTCACGCTGATTGTGAACATGAAAACAGCGTATATTTCCCGCCTGTTTTTGGTTTCTAGAACTTTGGTGTATCTCTGATACAGCCCTAATTTTTCTTATGAACCGATAATATTATTTGTTGTCGGTATATCTATCTGTCGAGTTCCGACAGACAATTTTAGACTTAGATCAATATTAATCTTCATTAATCGGGATTAATGCTTTTAATAGCATCGGTAGTAGCAAGATCAGCAAAACCAGCAAAGAAAATTTTTCACTAAACGTTCGTGCACACTTCATTAAAGCGAAAATTATAGCTTTAGTGATATTCAAACTGTCGGCACTATCATATCACAGCTGATTTTTAGCCCACTGCCCTAATAACAAAAATTGAGACAAAAATTACTAGGGTCGTACCACCGTTCATGTTCGTCACTTTCTAATGCGTTTTTAATAACAACTAATAGCCTAGCAATACTACATCACAGTGTTAAACTTTCCAACTTACTTGCAGGTAGTAATGGTTTGCAAATTTGATCCAATATTTACCTGAGAAAATTCCACAATGGGGTGCTCATAAATCTTCGCAGTACTTTGTAGACAAGAAGGAATTTGCCGCTACTTTTGATATTGTGACCTCAAGGCGAGGCTAATCAGAGATTCTCCCCTATATCCAAATTTATTTTCTGTTTTTATTAGTAATTTTGCAAAGAAAATTTTGGAAGTTGATTAAAGAATTTTCCTTTGCTATAATGTTAATCTTAACGGTATAATAACAACAATAATAATAAAGAAAATACAGAGGGGGCCATATTGCCAAACTACGCTGTAAAAAGTAAGTAAATAAGTGATAAATCTTAACAACAAATCTACATTGGTAGACGCGATTTTGAAAATTCAAACAGAAAATGAAATGTTATAGAAATAAAGTAAAAAAAAATAGAAACAGCACAATACAATAAAAAAAAATACATCTCAGCTATACTGTGGAATAACTCAACCCAGACCTTATATGTTTACGTAGACTTTTTTGAAAACTAAACCAGGGATTTGCTGAAACTCTCTTGCAGCATTGTAGCTAAAAAATCTAAATCTAAAGCTAACAGCTAAAAAGCCGTACTCAGAATTTCAGATCTGGAGGACTACATCAAGTGGACTCATTGAAACGCTTAGAAATGTTATTGTGTTTGAGGATGCTGTAACTGAAGCAGGGCCCGCCAAAAACCAATTTACAATATGCAAGTCCCGATAGAACCAGACTCTCAACTATAACTTCTTTACTCAGCGTTTTTATTTAAATGTAGGATTTTTAAGGTTTACACACGATTCTTCAAGTAAAATCAATACATGACGTGAGAATGTAAAATCGTAGTGGATCCTCAAATTTATACAGCAGTCGGACAAATTTAAATATGAAAAATGAAAAAATTAAAAACTTTCTGATTTATTAAATATTTTATGGGTACCGAAGGTCCAGGAACTTTGCAACTTTGTATTAAGCAACAAAGTGTAGGGACTAGAACCGAAAAGAAACTAAAGTCTTTCCAGGCATATGATAAAACTCTACCAAAAGATAGGTAATGTGCGATAATAGAACGGGTACGATAATAAAATGCAAAAGACTTCGGGCTATTAACAGTTTTCTTTGCAATTAAAATGTGGAATTCAATAGAGCAAAATGCAGATTGCAATTCATACAGTTAGATTAGACATAAGAATTATATTAATTCTGCAAAGTGTATGAAGTGAATAAAATGTAAAAAACACTACTGTTAGCACCACTAATACCTTCACTTGTTACAGGAGTGATTCCTAAGCTTGTATTCCAAATAAGTTTTAGTTCAGTATTCCATGAGATCAATATGTACTTTATTACCCTGGTATTCTTAAACTAATTATTCACGTTAACGTTAAGGTAGCTAATAACTCCTACAGCAAAGCGAGTGCTTAATAAACGAATAGCTGAAGAAGTTTATTAACGTGTTACATACCATCATTTTTCCCGACTTTTATTTTTTGGGTACATTTCTGCAAAAAAAGCATGAATACATTCACTGAGTCAGCAATGCCATTAGTGGATACGCACTGGAAAAAGAAGAAAGTACTTGTAACCAACTCATTATTCTATTGACGTAAAATACAAAATGCCGTTAGATATACGGAGAATATCCAATGCCTTGCAAACCAGTAGCCAAGGTTTATGAAACAGCTGAAGTTCTGAACTGACCGCCACATTGATTAACGGATCTGCCGTCATAAGTGCCAATTTGCATCCGCCTTATCAATGCAATAATCGGAGTACCAGTTATTTAATGTAACCAGTCATTGTTAATAGACGCGCTGTTTGTGAGGGCATTATACTTGCGAAATTTCGAGCAGTGAAAAAAAAAGTTTATTTATTAGAGATTAAGGCCTTTGTAAGCTGCAGGGTATTAGAGAAACAGGCAAAAAAACATCATAGATTAGTCAGATTGCAGCAGATGACAACATTGACAGTGTTTAAATATCAATGTAAAACCAGGCTATCAGATATAACAAGATAGGAGAACAAAGCAAATCAATGGGCCTGAATATCAACAACAAAAAAACAACATCTATGATTATCTCTAGAAACCTACACCAGAACATTCAACGCAAATCCCATAGAAAGAGTAGATAAGTTTAAGTCTGGCTTTGCGATGAATGGACATCAGACAAGGAAATAAAAGGTTGCATTGCACAGGCTCGACAGGCATTATGGAGATTTCGAAAGGTGAGATATTGGGAATGGGCTTACCTGTTCCGATTTTGAACTTAACCTAAGACTCAGATTCGTTGAATGCTACGTTTGGTCGGTGCTTCTTTGCTGTTTAGAAGGTTGGCCACTAAAAGCGAATACAATCAACAAATTGGAGGCCTTCGAGATATAGCTGCAAAGCAGAATCATAAAAATACCTTGGACGACTAAGCTAACAAACGAAGTGGCCCTATGACGTGTCAACAAACATCCGGAACTATTTGAATTGATTAAGAAGAGTAAAATGACATATTCGGAACACATAATGCGAAACACGAAATAACATTTCTTGCATCTGCTGATTGAAGGCCGGAGAGCGATCGGAAGAAAAAAAAATTCTTGGCTACGAAATATCAGACAGTGGACAGAGCTACCTAAACGATGTACAATCGTTAATACACACCGCAAGGAATAAAAAAGCAATGGAAAATGTTATCGCAAACATCCATTAGTGGATACGCA